CAGGATGAAATTACAATAGATATGGAAAATGCCAAGTTAAAGGCCCATTACCATCTAGTCAAGTACACCCTCGTGAAAATGGGTAATCGGTGGTAAATCCAGTTTTCTACTTCCACTTCCTCCCATTCTACTGCTCTTATTTTGCCTTAAAACCCAACCAAATACTAAAAAAAGAGAACAAGGTTGGGGAAAAAAAATAATCGGATTGTAGTTTGGCATCCTGGTGTAGAAGAAACTCCTATGTATGTAAGAAACCACCACAAAAAAGAAGAGGTCAGTCTATTCTGCAAAGCACCAGAAGGCAGGACAAGAAGCAACGGATGGAAACTAATCAAGGAGAGAAGCAACCTGGAATTGAGGAGAAACATCCTAACAGTGAGAATTAATCAGTGGAACAGCTTGCCACCAGAAGTTGTGAATGCTCCAACACTGGAGGTTTTTAAGAAGAGGTTGGACAACCATTTGTCTGAAATGGTAGAGGGTCTCCCTCCTATTTGAGCAGGGGGTTGGATTAGAAGATCTCTAAAATCCCTTTCCAACTCTGTTATTCTCTTATTCTGTTGTCCCAAATGTGCTTTTTTCTTTCTTTTTTTTTCTAAGAGGCAACTGGACTTTCTGGTTTTTCTTTGAAGACTTTCTGGTTTTTCTTATTCTGTTATGTTATGTGCAAATAGCTGGGAAGTTATCTTGTGGTAGATGGGAAACCAATAAATGTGATAGATAGATAGATAGATAGATAGATAGATAGATAGATAGATAGATAGATATTCTCTGGACTAGCTAGCCAAGACACAGTCCAACAGAAGTCCCAAAGAAATGAAGGAAAGCAAACTTTTGCATGTCTACCACTTCTTCTGCGATTTACAGTTTACCCAAGGTTTCATCTAGCAGCCTGGGGCACTTGTTCCAAAAGAGGAACAAGCAAATTGCTGAAAACAAGGGAGTTGATGCTTTGTTCTTCCTGGAGCAGGCGGGATCCCTAATTTACCTCCCCTTCGACCTCAAGACCTTCCCTTCATGAAGGGCTACCTGTTGTCTGGGCCTCCACTGAATAGCAATAACAATAGCACTTATATACTGCTTTACAGTACTTTACAGCCCTCTCTAAGCAGTTTACGGAGTCAGCCTCTTGCCCCCAACAATCTGGGTCCTCATTTTACCCACCGGAAGGATGGAAGGCTGAGTCAACCTTGAGTTGGTCAGGATCGAACTCCTGGCAGTGGGCAGAGTTAGCCTGCAATACTGCATTCTAACCTCAAGGAAGGAAGGAAGGAAGGAAGGAAGGAAGGAAGGAAGGAAGGAAGGAAGGAAGGAAGGAAAGGAAGGACAATAGCAATAGCACCTAGACTTATTTATATACCACTTCATGGTGCTTTTACAGCCCCTCTTAAGTGGTTTACAGAGTCAGCCTCTTGCCCCCAACAATTCAGGGTCCTCATTTTACCCACCTTGGAAGGAGGGGAAGGAACTGAGTCAACTTTGAGCCTGGTGGGATTTGAACTGCCAAATTGCAGGCAGCCGGCAGTCAGCAGAAGGAGCCTGCAGTACTGCACTCTAACCACTGCGCCACTGGACGCGCAGTGACTCCCCTTCAGTGGAGCAAAACAAACTCAAACCCACATAAGCCTTCAGAGCTGAAGCACAGGAAGCCAGAAAATCAAATCCCTGCCTACTCAAGACCAGGAATGTTGAAGCAGCAGGGTTTCCACTGGGAGTAGGCAAGGTGTCTTCTCCCACCTTTGCCTCACCTGAGATGCCGCAATCCACCTCCGGGCTCGGTTGCCATGGCACAGAGCAGAGAGTGAGCGGTGTGTCATGAACAGCCTTGGCAGATTGCAGAAACGGGCCGGAGAGAGCAAATATTAATGACCCATCTCAAGGAACAGCCGGAAGGGGATTCAATTTACACCTGGGAGGAAGTCATGGCTACTCTACGAGTCTGGGAGGTGCTGCTTGCCAATCCAGCGGCCCACAGATCAAAAAGTCTGCCCTAATATTTAGGCTTTTTATCTTTTTGCATACTTCAACGCCAAGCCTGGTTTTAAGGATAGGTTCCAACACGCAGATGATCATTGGTTACACGGCTGACACCCGGCATTCGTCCAGCCCACGCGTGAACTGCGGTGACGTCATGGAAATTTTGAGCCAGTTCCAGTTTTCCTGCTGGAAACTATGGAATATGCATAAGCTGTGTAATATTTTTTGTTTTTTACACAAGAGCAGTGAGAAGAGAAAAACAGAAAAGGAGAGAAGAAGGAGGGGGGAAGAGAGAGAGAGAGAGATGAGCTAGTGTGGAAGTTGCATTTCTTTGGCAGAGAATATATTTTATCATCCCTTAGGGTGGGTGGAAGGAATCTTGCAATCCTAAAACAAGCACAGAAAAAACCCTAACGTTCTGCACTTAATCATCCTTTAAAAAAAAAGAACTTCTGATTACTCCAATATTTGCTGTCATTATTGGGGGGGGGATTCGTTATAAATTTCAGCTCATTCGTGGTCCTGCCTCATTTAGGGAAATGGATTTTGGATTTCACGATTTTCGTGATGAATTATGATAGGACTTTTGTTTTTCCTGCATTTTACGGTGTAATTAATTTCTGTAGGCCACCCAGACCCTGTTAGATGTCAGACAGCAGGTAAATCTCGTCCATAAACAAAGGTAAGCACGAAGGCAGAAGGATTTCTATCTGGAAAATGAATTCTGGTGAGTTTGTATGGAAGGACAAGGGATCGGTCTGTCTCTCAGGTGCAAGAAAGACCCTCCCTCTTGGTGCAGTCTTAAAAGGAAAGCCTTTCGGGCTTGCAAATTTTATGAGACTTGAGACAGGAGAAAGGAATGGAGTAGTGTTTGTATGAAGACAGAGATGCTGTTTTAATTTTGGAAAATGCCCTGAGGCTTCCCACACCCCTGAAAGCCTCTGGCAACATCTCTTTACGGTTTAAGATTGGACTGAAGTTAAGATTTCCTTCTTGAAAATCATGGTCCTTCATTCCTAGGCAACTGCTTGCAAATGCCACAGGTAGATTCACGCCCAGACCAAATGGATCAAAGTATCGATGATAGACTAAGGTCGTTTCCTTTAAAAAAAAAAAAATGTTAAAAGGCATTTTTTAAAGATAAGAAATGGAAATGAAATGAAATGAAATGAAATGAAATGAAATGAAATGAAATGAAATGAGGGAGGGAGGGAGGGAGGGAGGCAGGCAGGCAAGAAGGAAGGAAGGAAGGAAGGAAGGAAGGAAGGAAGGAAGGAAGGAA